TGCTATTTGCACAGAATTTCTCACAACTTTCACACTGCCAGTGCTACAGTTTGTCAGTGTCCAATATGATCAGGGCCAACATTAAGTCAGATATTTGGAAAGCACTAAGTTTAGTCTCAAGAGGTGTAATGAGACTACTCGACCATATTTCCTGCACAGGGCTTTGAATTAAGAGCTTGCTGGTAAGAACATGGGATGATCCATTAGAAATGCTGAGGACTGACAGTAATCCCTCAGAATCATTGGCCCAGCCTCCATGTTTGCTCCTGGTTAACAGTGAGGCTAATTAATACTAGTTAATATCAGGTAAGAATAGAATGATCATCAGAGCTTTGTAACACCCAGAGGGAGACTAAGAGGAAGCCCTGCAAAGGAAGGGTCAGGGTTACCCCCAAGCATGCTGGTGCATCAGTGCAGCCCTCACTTTGCCAAATTCTAATGTAAGATCTGGCTCTCCTACCTCCCTCAGCTCAGGCAGAGGCACAGCCAGGGGCTGTGCAATCACAGCAGCATCACGGCACACAGCAGCCAGCTCTTCACTAGGAAGTCTTCATAGGTGACCCTATGTATTGCTGATATCTTCTCTACCCCAACCCTGCTGTTTCCAGCCACGCAGAATGGTTTTCATCTCCCTCCTTAAAGCAGGAGTGCTCTGAAGTGCTTCTGGGAGCTCATAAACCAGCTGTCATTCTGCAAGGAGCCAGCTGCACTTTGGTGGCAGCGGGAAGTGCAGGACCATCACCCATGCTGGTCCTGAACCTCAGTTTCCTGTGTTCAGACGGGCATCTCAGGCGAGTTCCCACCACCAGGGTGGATTTGGAAGCATCTTCTAATGGTTTCTTGCACCTTCCCCAACCAAATACACAAGGTCATGGTAATAAATTATGTTGCATGCTCAGGAACACTTCCCACACTGAGTTAGTCTCTTGTTTTGCTCTCTCTGTAGTCTCCGTCCTGTCTCTGCAGCTGTGGACAATCTCGTGAGGGAAGTCCAGTCAATAAGGAAAAGGCTAGAAGAACTGAATGAACGCCTCGATGTCATCAGCAAAACTGTCCTTCCCATCCGAATGAACGCTCTGCAGAGCCAGAGGCGTGGAAATACTCAGCTGAGGAGTCTTCCAATGCATAGGAGAAGGTTGTATGCTCGCAGGAGACCTCAGAGGAGTTAGTTCTCTACAAAAAAAAAAAAAGGAGAATATTTTCTTTTTTCATCTGCTTAAGCCTTTCTCAGTGGGATGCTGCCAGAGAGAATGAAGCAAAGCACATACAAGTCAGCTTTACTGAAGAGAACAGAACTGCTGCATTTTGCTGCTGCCTTTCAAACCTAGGTCACTAGGTGAAATCTGACTCTGTTCTTCAATGACGGCTGTTTTGTGTCCCATTCAAAATGAGTTGACAAGCTCAGTCTACTTGAGTGTGAATACCCTCAGTCATTCTTTCTGCTTACCAGAGGAAGCTCTTTCTATAAAGATCAGGTGAATTTCTTTCTCTGTCCTATTTTTACAGCAGTCCACCTGAAACAGGTGGGGAATTTGGTCTTCAACTGTGCTGAACGCCTGATGAATGCAGACAGAGAGACAGTGCTTGGAACTTCTAGCTGGTCAGGGAGGGGGAGAAGAAACTATGTTTTAACACAGAGCCTTAACCTATTCTCCATCAGTGCAAAGAATGTCCTGTTCACACATTCAGAGGGTGGGTAGGGTTGGATAACCTTGGTCTGAACATCACGTTTCAAGACTGAAGATATGTCAGATCCTAGGGACCAAATTTGAACATCTATCTTCTGCAGGGTGTTTTTTTAGATACCTGGAACTGGGCACTCAAAACCTTGTTATTCAGCAGGTATATTTAGAATTTCCAGAACTCTGAAAGACATTGCATTGGCTTCTGACAAGATTCTTGGAAACTTGGGGATGTTTTTGCAAAACTATTTAGAGTGTAAGAGGCACTTCAGTCCCCAAATTCACAGTTAATAAATGAGCTCATGTTTAATTTGCACAGTATCTTCTCTACATCAAGCACAGACTTCCAGACATTTCCCAACATGCTGTAGCACTATTAAGATTTATAGAAAAAGAACAGCTATGCACCTCAAGGACTTGGGCGCCTTGGGGCCAGAATACCCTGCCTTCAGCTTGTTTTTGCCTGTGGTTCCTTGACAATAAAACTAGTGATAAAGAAACAGTGCAGAAATCAAATTATGCCCTGAACAGATGATGAAGTGGGCTTGCCCTTCAAGTCTCTGAAGGTAAATCCAAAACAGAGATTCCCATCCTGTGTTGCAGCCAACTGCATACCATAAATCTAACAAAACATAGGCAGGAGAGTTGTTGTGTGTTTGTTTTATTCCAAAGGTCTGGATGAAGCAATTTATGAGAACAAAAATAAAGAATGGATTATGTCTAAATGGTTGTGGGGGAGGCTGGCAGGACAGATGTTTTGCAAACATTCTCCAGTCATAAACAATGAGGATGCAGACTAGCTATTTAAGGATTCCCAGGGCCTGAGTTTATGGAAAGAAGTTCAGCAACACTACAATAACCTCCAGAGAGAAAGGGAAAAACTAGTTTTATATTAAATCTTTCAAAATGAACCAGAAGTAACACAGTCATCATTTTGGCTGGGACCTGGGAGCTGAGTGGAGTAGATACAAGGCATGTATGAGACAATATGGTAAATATTTCCTGGATGTAGATTCTCTGAGTTTAGGTTTTCAGAAAATAACAAAACTCCAACTTGCAAGGTTTTTCTTAGGCTTTTACTTGGTAACATGAGACACTACTTAACTAGACAAAGGAAAAATCAAGCCTAGGAACAAGCTGATAAAAAGATACAGTTGTGCCTTTGGTGAAGTTGTCATAATAATTTCTCAGGAAATGTAGAGTGTTTTGATACCAGAATGTATTTCCCTAAATTACAAGGTATTACAGGAGAGAAAGGTCCCATCAATCTCCCCCTTGTTATTCTCCATTCAGAGCTACTAGGCCATGCTGTAGCATCAGCTGCACGGTTGCACAGACTGCTGGTCCCTCCAGGGGATGCTTTACCCACTTCGCTTAGGGCTGCTGGGACTGCTGGTCACTTCGGGTTACCTAGAGGAAGAATACATCATAAATGTCAGCTTTCATGTTCATATTTTAGACTTGAGCATTTTATCAGGCTACCTGAAGTAGTATAAAATGCAACGTGAAACAGAAGGATGAGAATTCTGGCTCAGGGAAGTCCCTCAGCCAGAGATGGCTGGAGGTAGAAGGCCAGACCAGATCACTACATGCTTTTACCTAGAAGTCCACCATCAGCTTCTGCCAGAAAGAGAGGACTGGGCAAGATGGACCCCTGGTCTGACCCAGTCCATGTATTCCTACACTGATATGTGCAAGTTGGTATTTTTGGCAAAATGTGGCAGCTCAATGGAGAAGCTCACTGATTATTTCAAAAGAGAACAAATCAGCTGCAGCACACAATGTGTATTAGAGTACTGCAATTTCTTGCGTAATGGTGAATAAATCAAATTATATAAATGGTTAATGAATTACTAGACTTGTGGCCTTGTCACCACTGATAGCACCCCTGTCATTCACTGTGAAAGTCCATGTTAGGCTCCAGCCCTGCTCCCTACCCTGAACATGGCCTGTTTGAGCAGATGACTGTGGCTGCTTTAACTTGCGTTTGTACCACCCTCTCTCAAATGGAAATGCTTTAGTGTCACATTTATTTTATAATTTTCCTTTTTGCTCTTTAAAAGTATAGCAAAGTTAAGCATTAGCCTGCTTCCACACCACTCACGTTCTACCTGAGGAGGCAGAAGTCCAGCTGAACAGACAACTCAAGGTGCCTTTGATTCAACCCACCCAGGGTGGCTGGTCAGATCCACGGCTGCCCCAGGGACTGGTGTTTGACTCCTGCCTC